TGTCTCCGCCACACCCGTAGAGTATGCTGGTTCAATTTCTTTTTGAAAGGCCGAAATGCATTTTAAGATAAGTTAATTAAATAGGTTGGGTATGTAATAAGCCTGTTCATTAGTCATATGTAACTAAGTAGTTTTGTAATGCAAAAAGGATTTGATTCAGTTGATGACATACAGATTCGTTATAGGCGGACACTAATGTATATAACAGTTATCATAGATATCAATTACATATCAGTCATACGAACAAAACATTTAAAAAAATGTCACTACTGAAGTTATTAAACTACTAGCAGGTGGGCCCGGCGTTGCTCGGGCAAAAGTAACGATAACTAAGATAAAGATTATTACGTTACAGTCAACCTTACCCGTTTTCACAGAATGCAAGAATTGGGTCCCCTTAGAGAATTTTTAGATGGGTCTAAAAATATGTTCGATTTCCCGCAAAAACGAAAAAACTGCATCTGCGTATCGCACGTCGCTTTCTCTTAACAATTCCATTGTTACGTAAGATTTCCATTGTTGACACTTCCATTGTTACTTAAAACTTTTATTGTTACTTAAAACTTCCATTGTTACTTAACACTTCCATTGTTACTTAGCACTTCCATTGTTACCTAACACCGCCATTGTTACTTAACACTTCCATTGTTGATGGAAGTGTTAAGCCTTAATCCTGTCTTTCTCCCCCCGGGGGGAATTTCGAAAAATCCCTTCTTAGTGTGCGTTTTCGTGACGTACCCTAACTGTGTACCAAATTTCAGCTTCCAACTCCTAACCGTTTGGGCTCTGCACTTATTATTATTATCATCAACCCGTCTCGATTATATTATAGATTTAAGCATTATAACACGAAGAAACAATATTTACTAAATTAGTAAGATCTGTATAGAAAAAAAATCCAAATCGCACCCATTTTTACAAACGTGTACACAAAATCTTCGGATGGCATAACAATATCGATTTAATTATTCCATCTATATATATAATCGAGACGAGTTGATAATAATAATAATAATAATCAGCGCAGAGCCCAAACGGTTAGGAGTTGGAAGCTGAAATTTGGTACACAGTTAGGGTACGTCACGAAAACGCACACTAAGAAGGGATTTTTCGAAATGCCCCCCTGGGGGAGAGGGACAGGGTTAAGCTTAACACTTCCATCAACAATAGAAGTGTTAAGTAACAATGAAAGTGTCAACAATGGAAGTGTCAACAATGAACGTGTTACGTAACAATGGAATTATTAAGAGAAAGCGACGTTTTAAGAGAAAGTGCAGTTGGTTTTCGTTTTTGCAGGAAATTGAAGCTATTTTTAGACCCATGTAAAAATTCTCTAATTAGTCTGGAAACGGGGGATCCGATTTTTGCATTCTGTGAAAACGGGTAAGGTTGACTATAACGTAATAATCTTAATCTTCGCTATCGTTATTTTTGCCCGAGCAACGCCGGGCCCACCTGCTAGTTTATATATATATTTGTTCTATTATATGTATACCTTTTCAGATATTTTAGTTCTCACAATTAGTTTTATTAATGTTCATATAAAGTTCTGCAAACGATGCTATTTGGGCAAATACAGTCGACCCCCCCTATAACACAGTTGATTTTTCCGTTTTATATGAATTCCATGTTGTACGAGTCACTTATATTTTACAAATACGTGAGCCGTTCACAGCCTAGCACACTTATTTGTAAAATCTAAGTGACTCGTACAACATGGAATTCATATAAAACGGAAAAATCAACAGTGTTATAGGGGAGACAACTGTAGTCTCTTAAACCGCACCGGAGATTTTCAAAATCGCACTCGTATTTCAATCATGTAGGAAAATTGTTTTTAGATTAATTATTTTTATTTAATAATCTGAATAGTAAAAACATTTTATGTTACAACACAATAAAAATTGTGTTGTAGCTTAAAATTCCATATGCCAATTTTCGTACATTTATAATAGTTTGATCGAATATTTTGTAATAGAATTATACATATTTTGACACTTCCATTTTCATATTTTCCTATATCGGTCATTGCAAAATAAAAGTAAAATACCAAAAAATAAAAACTTTCTCATCAATTAAGTATCTCATCTATTCGTTTTTTAAAGTAAATATAACTTCAAAAAACATCTTGAGCAAATATTATTTATTAATAATTACAACGAAATGTTACTACATTTATAAAATAAAAACACGTATGTAATTTTTATCATTGAATTGAAGACATCGCCTTATTCTAATGCTTACAGTCAAAGCCTTAGAATTTCAGAGAATTTCAGGCACTTGCTAATAACTCAATTGCTATTCGGCCGAATACAGTATTTGGTATTCGTTCAAAAACTCCTATTCCTTGACAAAATAAATATTTTAATTAGATCAATCAATTAATAATTACACACATCATGTTCACAAATGTGATGCTTGATCATTTCAGTTTAAAAAAATTATTTATTTAATTACATTACATTTGTGATTTATTGAAATTGTTTAGTCGTTATTCATTTTTAATTTGGATACAAAATACTATCAATTCTCTACAATAAAGGATGTATTTTTTTGTATTATTATTCATTACAGTTTTAAACTCAATTTTTCTTTTCAAATAGAAACTATTATATGTTACGAATAATAATTTGAACTACAAGAAATACTAAAGATAAAGTGGATTTTAGACATTAGAAAATCATTTTTTAGTTTCATATTGAATAAATTCCATATGACACTGACATATGACATTCCATATTGAATAAATTCCATATGAAAATATACGAAGCTGATCGATATCTTAATGTTTATCTTAATTATAATTATCTTTCTTTCTTTGGCTTCTTCGAATTAAAGCGAAAACTTATCAATTATCATCATCTGTATAATATGAAATAATAAAGTTTGTTTCTAAATTTAATATTTAAAATTTCAATTGTATTATACAATTAAATAATGTCTGACTTTTCGTAGAATTTATCCGTCAAATGTAACGATGCAGTGAGTCGAAGCATATTTATCGATATGAAGGAAACATACTCTACTAATGCACTTAAGTTGTTTAGTTACTTAATCATTAATGTATATTTGAACTATTATAACAATCGTGTAAAGTGTATGATTATAAAATAAAATTGGATCTACTAATTACAGCATTTATTTTTCCAAACATATTGTTATAAGATAGATGCTCATACTATTAAACTTATAACTGTTATGGTATGATGTTTGACTTTAAAAAAAAATTATTTGATTTCAATATTAAATTTAAATCTAAATCGAAAATCCAATTTAAAATAAATAAACTGTTTGCTTGTTGTAATTTCATATTGGAAGATTTGAGATGCTCCTTATGTAGTATTAGGGAGAGGAATGTAACCATAAACGGGCAAATAACATTTCTATTTTAAAATGTATTAACTGTTATTTCCTCCATTGTTTGGGTCAGTTTTGAAATACAATGGCCGTTGTTGGCATCACAGTAATTTGATTATCATTGTCCACTTTTGTCTGTAATGTGCTTGTTGAAAGGAAATAAGGAAATTCGGGTTTTTCATTTGATATTTTCGTTGTTTTTCGTTGATATTTTTCATTGTGTTTCGGAGTAAGGGCAAGAGCTTCGGAGGATTTTAATTATGTGGTGCTGTATAGTTAGAAATATTTATAAGAAACACTTTCATAATACAATGTTGGTTATTAGGCGCTTCTAATGCTTATGAAGATGCTTACTTTATAAAATGGCGTCCAATCTGAAACAGTATTTGTAATACGTTGCTCAAATCGTACCCTATGCTCAAATGGTGCTCAAATGAAGTATCTCTGATATTACATCTGAGATACTTCATTGTTGTAAAGACTTGTTTGTTATTTTACATTTGACCGATAAATGAAATTATGAAAAATAGAAATATAAAATTATGTAAAGTTCTATTGCAAAATATTCGTCCTAACATTTACAAATGTACAGAAATTTTTATTGTTTTATAGTTTAATTAAAATATGTAGCATCCGTTCAAATTTTATTGTCGCTACAAGTAAAGCATTTGCCGCCCCAATATTTTTTCAAAATTGGCTCAGAAAAATATTATTTTTATTTTTATTTATGTGTCTATTTTAAATTCAAAATCCAATATTTTAAATATTAATAACAATTAAAATTTTAGAAGTTTCTTTTACTTTTTATATAATTATTTTAGCTGAGGCAGCACATTTTCAAGAGCTGAGGCTCTTGAAAATGTGCTGCCTCAGCTAAAATAAAATCAGCAAAAATGAGGCAGCACATTTTTGCTTTGCTGATGCCTAGAGCTGGCC